TTTGTTATATTGTCTTTTTGATAAATTTTTTTTTTTTTTTTTTTTTTTTTTTTTTTGAGACAGAGTTTCGCTCTTGTTGCTCAAGCTGGAGTGCAATGGTGCCATCAAAGGTTGGCTCACTGCAACCTCTGCCTCCTGGGTTCAAGCAATTCTTCTGCCCCAGACTCCTGAGTAGCTGGGATAACAGGCATTCGCCCCACACCCGGCTAATTTTGTATTTTTAGTGGAGAGGGGTTTTCTCCATGTTGGTCAGGCTGTTCTCAAACTCCTGACCTCAGGTGATCCGCCCACCTCAGCCTCCCAAAGTGCTGGGATTACAGGCGTGAGCCACCGTGCCTGGCCTTTTTTTTGGATCCCTTCACAAATTGCGTTTCTTCGTGCATAGGGGTTATGCTAATCTCTGTTTCATTCCCATTTTGCTATATCTGCTGCCAAAGCAAGTACACAGTTGCATTTCTTTTGGTTTTGGTTTCTCAGTCAGCTAAGGGAACTTCCGGACAGCCCCTGCCTGCATGCACATGGGTGATGAGACAAGAGTTTAAAAAGTCCTTGGTTCTGAGGCAGCTTATAAGTCCTTCCAATTCATTCAAAAGTGCTCTGTTGCCCAGGCTGAAGTACAGTGGTGTGATCGCAACTCACTGCAGCCTTGACCTCCTGAACTCAAGCTTCCTACCACGTAGCTGGGACCGTAGGCATGCGCCGCCACCACACCTAATTTTTCTTTTTCTTTTTTTTTTTTTTTTTAGACAGAGTCTTTCTCTGTCACCCAGGCTAAAGTGCAGTGGCACCATCTCAACTCACCACAACCTCTGCCTCCCAGGTTGAAGCAATTATCCTTCCTTAGCCTTCCTAGTAGCTGGGACTACAGGCACCTGCCACCACGCCCAGCTAATTTTTGTATTTTTAGTAGAGATGAGGTTTCAGCATGTTGGCCAGGCTGGTCTCCAACTCCTGACCTCAGGTGATCTGCCCCCCTTGCCCTCTGAAAGTGTTGGGATTACAGGTGTGAGCCACCTCACCCAGCCTAATTTTTAAATTTTTTGTAGAGGAGTCTCACTTTGTTGCCAGGCTGGTCTTGAATTCTTGATCCTCCCACCTAAGCATCCTAAAGTGCTGGGGTTACAGGCATAAGCCACCGCACCCACCTTTTCATTATCGCTAAAAACTTGGGACTCGACTCTAGTGAATACTAAAGCAGCAGCAGGCCACGATCAAACTTTTATCTTCCAAATATTTTGTCACTGGCTGCAGAGTAGAAAGCCAATTGGAGGCCAGATGTGGTGTGGCTCATGCCTATAATCCCAGCACTTTGGGAAGCCAAGACAGGCAGATCACCTGAGGTCAGGAGTTGGAGACCAGCCTGACCATCATGGTGAAATTCCGTCTCTGTTAAAAATACAAAATTAAGGCCGGGCGCGGTGGCTCAAGCCTGTAATTCCAGCACTGTGGGAGGCCGAGGCGGGTGGATCACGAGGTCAAGAGATCGAGACCATCCTGGTCAATACGGTGAAACCCCGTCTCTATTAAAACTACAAAAAATTAGCTGGGCATGGTGGCGCGTGCCTGTAATCCCA